TGTTGTTGTTGTTGTTGTTGTTGTTGTTGTATCATAACTTCTAAAAGTTAAAATATACCTTTTGATGCATAGGGGCAAGGTGGCATACATATAAAAATTGAGGCTTGGGTGATAGATGTGTAAATGCATGAGAATTGTATGGTATGTATGTAAATGCATGAGAATTGTATGGTATGTATGTAAATGCATGAGAATTGTATGGTATGTATGTAAATGCATGAGAATTGTATGGTATGTATGTAAATGCATGAGAATTGTATGGTATGTATGTAAATGCCTCTTTCTCCTTTTGCGCTCAATGTTTGCTCCCAAAGTTACCTTTTTTAACAGTTATTTTTGAAGGATGAACTTAAAATGGATGAGAGATGAAAAGAAGAATACAAACAATCTTGCACTTAAGAAGTTCTCCGATTAGGCTACTGAAGCATATGCAGAGTGAATATAATTTCCTAAAGCTCATCAAATTCATATAATTGAAGGCAGAATAATAGGAAACAAACCATGAAAGTCAAAAGGAACTGCATGAAAAAACAGAAGAAGAAACTGCTGCACCTCTGAAGTTCACAACCAGTCCTGCTGCTGTATCTTCAAAGGCAAATAGACCTCAGAGAGATACTGAAATCCAAAGGAACTGAGGGCCTGAATTTCAGCCTTCTGTCTTGTCTTCACCATCATCTCAAGCTCCTTCACCCACCCCTCATTCCTCTTCACGAAATCCTCCTCGAGAAGATCTTTACCAGCCTTCACGTCCTGATCAGTCATGGGCAGCCGGCATTGCTCCGGCACCTGGTACTTATCAAGATCGCTCGGCCGAACCCCCAGCCATTTGATATCCGGTGTGGTCAGATTCGAGCTATCGTAAGACATGTTCTTCGATCCGCACATGTAGACTGAGAGGATCTTAAGCCCGTAGGGATCGCTGTCGACAAGAGCAAGAACGGGTAGCTTTAGCTCAGTCTTCATGCGTTTGAGGAAGAGCCGGGTTGCCACATCGGGCTGGCCTTTGGCTGTGACGATGATACAGGGGAAGCGATTGTAGAACCGGTCCTCTGCAAGCCGCATGAACGCGGCGTCTTTCTCGACGAGGAGGATGAAGAGAGCGTCGCTCTCAAGCCCGCCGACACGGTCGATGTTGGGAGGGATAGCTTTGCCACCGATCCCCATTTTAGTACAGTCTATCCTGTCTCCATCATCATAGAAAATGAGACGGCCGACAACGACGCCCTTCTCCGAAGCGACGACATGGAGAGAGGAGCGAGTGCAGCCGAGCATGCAGGAGACGTCGTCCAGTACAGCATCAGACTGCGTCTGGTCTTGGAAAAGCTTGACATCGGTGTAGAATAGATCACGCTTAGTGACATGGATGTTGCGGCGCAGAACCGCGTAGACGAGGGAGAGAACGCGAGCAGTGATGGTGGCCTTTCTAACGGTGGATAGATTGGCGAAGAGGCGTGCGGAGGCCTTGTCGCGAAGGACGATGCGGTCCAGCTCGGGGACGTAGAGCTGGTTAGAGGAGGATCGGGAGGGTATGAGGAAGGAGAAACCGGAGCCGGAGAGGATGGATCGGGCGGCGTCGAGAGCGGCGCGTTCGATGGAGAGGAGAACGGAAGAAGAATCGCGATCGGAGACCTCGCGACAAGCGGAGGATAGATTGAGATCGGAGAGGGTTAGGGATTTGGAGGCAGCAGATTTAGAGGCCGCCGCCATCTTGCGGACGGATTCAAGGATGTCAGCATCGGATCTGAGCTGGTTACGGAGCTCGTCGGAGCGGGAGGATGGCCGGATTTTCTTGCCGGCGGCGGAGTGGCCGGCGGAGGGGCCGCCGTCGCCTCGGCGGCGCTTCTTTTCCGACATGGAGGGGGCGGGAATCGAAGCTAAGGCTACTGGAGTAGCACTCACACAAATTGCTGAGTCAATTCGTCAGCTAAAACAAAGAAGTTGATTTAATAATTATTATATAACTAATATTAAAAAATGTAAATATCTATCAAAAATTTGTTAGAGATTTAGGGTTTGGGATTGTTTATTTGCAACATGAAAATTATATAATTATATAACTCAATCCCTATTTTTCCTTCCTTACGTCTCATTCGTCGTATTTTTTATCATTTAACTTTAAAATGTCGTTCTAAGTGATTTTCTGTAATGGCCTTTGATTTTTTTTTATGGTTTATGACTCACCGAGCTTTGTTCATTGTCTGTGATCGAGAAATTTGGCGAAATTTTGAGAAAATTTTTCCATGAGATTTTTTCTGTGATAGCCTTCGATTTTCCTGTGAAGTTTGGAGATTTTGTTTTTTAAGAGACTGGTCTGTATCGTGCATGTGAGCCTCATCAGAGATAATTTTGAGGGGTTTCGGGATATCTCTGGCTAAAATGTGCTAGCATCATGTGATAAGTTCCGGCTTTCAATCCCACGTATATAGCTTCCAATGTTGTGTTATGGTTTCTTACCAAACCATCCTCTCTCAAGCCATCCATCAGAGACCATTTTGAGGGATTTTGGGATGTCTGGCTAAAATGAGTGAGGATTATGAAATAAGCTTCTGCTTTTGATCCCATCTCTATGGCTTCCATTGGTGTGATATGATTTCTTGCCATGGCTTTTTCTCCCAAGCCAACCTCAAAAGTTGTCTATGGAATTTGAATATTTTGTTGGAAAGATCATTTATGAATGAACTAATCAAGAGATTTTGATACAATTTGCATGGAGATTGTGAAGTATCAAGAGTTAAAAGGAGTGTTTAAAATTATGAGACGTCTAAATTCTTTGTTAAAGATGATAAATACATATGAATTAAGTGGTATGTATGGAATTCTTTCTAATATAATTGCATTAAAGATTTTCCATTCAATATCATAGTTAGCAGAGCTAGTTAAATTGTGCATGCAGTTTGTTTAATGGTATATGCCTTTGAAGGCCTTGATTGATGATGTATTCATGTTGGTTTGTTCAATGTTCTTTGTATTTTATGTCTTCGATCATTCAAGGACTATTAATAGGAACCTATGATTATGGGATGTTGCTAATATATCTGCAACTGCTCTTAAGCTATGTGAGGTCGTTCCATTGAGTTGTTTCAACTATGTTGTCTATGCCTTTGCTATATTGTTTGTTACAATTGGTTCATAAATTTCTTGACCAGTCTTTTTGCCATCATAGCTGAGCATGTACAACATGGTTTATGAATACATGAGTTCAAGAATATTTGGTAGAAGTGATTATTATACATATGGCAGGACAACTTCAAAAATTATTTTGTGGTTATGTTGAGCTTTACAAGCTGCCGTTCACAACGTCAGTACGTTTAATCAAATGTATTGTCGTCTTTACGACGTGGTCACTCATCTGCGTTTTGCGATTTTGTTCTAATAAAACTTTCATGGGGGATGATTGAAAAAATTAATGCCAATTACATTTGAGTTGCATGTCATTCTACTATATTTCACATGTTTATTTTCTCTTTTCTTGCTAGTTGTGAGTTTTCAGATGTTTATTTTATCTTACATTGCTTGATGTCGGATTTCAAATGTGATTATTATCACATCTGTGACATGTGGAGAAATGGTTGAGGAGTTGGTGGATTGCTTTTTTTAATTAATTTATATTTTGATTAATTAAAGTTATTATTTGTAAAAATTTATGTTGATTAGTTCTTATTATGCTATTAGTGATAATGGGTAAAAAAAAAAAATTGGATTGCCTGTTATGTAGGATAAAGATGTGAAGTTAATCTTTTGTGATATTTGCCTAAAGGCGGAATTGAAAAATAGACCAATCGCCTATTTTAACAAGGAATTATGCCAGAATATTATAAAAAATTTTACAAAAAACACTGTAAGAAAACATGATAGAATGTAACTAAAAAACAAATATAATCAATTAAAAGTAGATCAGAAAGTATGAAAATAGTGAAAGCGATGTTCCAAGCATTTAGGTTGGGATCCCATAAAGTGAACCATTGATGTTTCAAATGAATGTAGACTGAGAGATTGGAGATAAAATTTATTAAACATTCAATGTTTTACATCTATTTATCTCATCTAAATTATATCAACACGTCAACTATTTATTAATTTGTAAGTCGTGTCAACTCCAAGAAGTTTAAGTTTGTGGCATTGAACTCAAGACATAATGCTTGGTGAAGTAGTGGCCATAGCTGCTCCTGCATGGGTACCAAGCAAGAGAGTGCACGCTAGCACAGCTGAGTATATAGATGTTGAGCAAATTGCTGACTTAAATGAAGGGTCCAATCCCAACTTAAATAAAGTTTGATTTACTAATCATTCAAAGCATCCTAGAGTTGAGAAAAAGGAAAAAAAATATTTTGTGGGATTTTAATGAAAAGTCCGATTTTGTAATTGGTTACTTCATACACCAATTAGTCTAGCTTTTATTCAACATATTATGGGAATATTGGAAGAAACTTCAAAATTTTATGAAGAAATTATTTTACTTATTTTCAATAAACTTGTTAGAAGATCTGATTAGGAGAATGTTATTTATATCAACGACACATTATCGTAGGGTTAATTATTTACGTTACTTTTATAAAATCGAGTTGTATGACACATATATTATTTTTGGATTTTTTATGTTTGATTGATATGGGTGCAAAACATTATTTTATATGTATGAGTGCTACAATCTTTCATTATTTCTGAATTGTTCATTCTCGTAGCTTTTGTTTAATGTATTACTTGTTAATTCATAAATATTATTTATGTGTTAGCTACATCAACAATGAATAACATGGATAGAGAAAATAACAAAAAAAATTACAATTGCATTATGCTTAATGTATGAGTATGACAACTCATATTGTTTGTATTCCGTGCATGATGTCCACATATATTGAATACAAATGAGTTGGAGAGTTAATTGTGAGTCATCCAATACGATGTAACATGTTTCATATGACACAAATCATATTTACTGATATATTAAAAGAACTTCACAGAAACCAGGACTTTATCACTCCTCCAGGATAAATTCAATAGAAGTGTTAGCTATTACTCTCTATATTTTCTCACAAAATTGGTCCTATGAGAAGAGTTACATAACAATTCCATAAAAAAATTAGTAGGTATTTTTTTGAGTTGATTTAAATACTCTTATCAGCTTATCTTCAAATGTTATCAAACCTAAAGATTGTACATTCCAAAGCACTCCTATAGAGATTTCACAAGATCAACACTATATATCATATTTTAAGTTAAATTTTTGTGTTCAACTTTTCCAAAATTTACTTATGCGCGGCAACTCTAATATCTTACATAAATGACTTAGGATTGTGTTCGAACAATTAATGTAACACATATGAATGCACGCGAGTCCAACTATGAAAAGATTGCATATATTGGACGTAATGGTTCACCAACACAAAATATTACGGGAGTACATGAATTTAATGTGTTCGCTTTTGTAATGACTGAATGAGAAGGCAGCACAAAAGATAATTGTGTATTCAAATTTGCAACACAAACTCATAAATACAACTTTCCAAAGCAGCTTACAAGCTTGCTAGAATATGCATAACTGAAAATTTTATTTCAACGCAATACTAATGATTATACTTATAACAAGAAATATTATTTAGTTAATGTAGGATATCAGTTACAAAGAAGATATCTCAAACCATTTCCTAATACAGAATACAACAATCTTGATTTTGAAAGAGCCAACAAGGTAGCTCGGGGCAGAAACAAAAAGTTAACAAGAGACATGTATTGTTATGTGTTGTTATTAAGAGGAAATTTGAGGTTTGAAAAGAAAAATTGGTTATTCTACGATACAAGCCCGCATATCTTTTTGACAAATCGGTAAAGATTGTAATCGCTACAATGGCTCTGTACAATTACATTCGTCGGCATCCTTCACACATTAATATTAATTTCAACAGAATAGATGAAAATCAATCATATGTCCCTACTAAAGCTTATGAATATCACCCAGTACAGTCAATATCACAAGCTAAATGCCATTTACACGAGTTTTGTGCACTTGCTGAGGACGATCCTAAGGAGATTATGGAATTGAGAGCGAAAATTATAAATGCAATAGTTAATTGGTGAAATAATGTTGTGTGCCAGTTTTTTTTATTTATGTATAATGTGTTGTAAAAAATATTTAATGTTTATTGTAATTATATTTTATACAGTGATGTCCATGTTGAATCTCAGTTTGATGCAAATTATTTTTTTCATTATTTCTACATGTACTTTTTTCCCATATGGATGTATTGTTATACAAACAATATATGCAATATATATATATATATATATATTATTTTGAGGCCTATGATGAGATATATGTCCTTAGGGATTCTTCAGTCTATATGTTGCTATGAATTTTAACATGTATGAAATCATCATCAAGGCAATCGAGATCCCATTTTTCTTAATCATATGACTGTCGAGATTCTCCTAGATTGTCTTTATGGTAATATGTTGTTGTGTCACACATGATCTCAGTATTATATGATTTAAAAACAACCAAGATCCACTTTTTATGGTCTTCTATCTTCTTTTAGTGACAAATTATTCGTCGGTTTATTTTTTTGCTATGAGATCTCACAGCTTTATAAATCTTTAATTATGTATTTTTATTATCCTTATTAGTTAATGTTTAAACTAAATGTTTATGATTTGTGGTTTTAAACCTTCTGAAAATATGAGCTCGATGACTTATGCTGTCTCTAGAGTCTAGTACATAGTTCTCTGCAAACTTCACGAAAGAAGCGTACAATTACATAAAAATTTTACAAGTGACCAAGGAATAAATCAATAGAGAACTATGACTACTTCAAATAAGCACATCAGTTAGACGATTTCACCCATATATTGATCAGGCATGGAGTATTTCTTTGGAGAAGTTATCTCATGAAGTTAATCATGTGCACTTAAAATTCAATATCATGATAATATTATTTATTATTTTAATAGTTTTATTTTTCAATTTGATCGTTATTAAGTAAAATGTCAATTCTAAGTGTAATATTTGAACCTATGAATTTTTAGAAACTCTGAATAATTTTTTTTTATATTCATGTACAAGTTATTCAACCCAAATTAATTATGCTATAAACAGCACAACAATACAAAGACTAAAAAAAAAAAAATCTTTTTTTATCATAAATAGTTGCAGCAAAACTATTGCATGAATATAGAAAACAAAGACACAACTTCCTCACAGAAGCTTCCTGCGATACCTATTACATAGCATCTTTTAAGAAATAGCAAACTAACCCTTATATACACAACACTTAATGTAAATATTAATATTTAGGAGTTACATATTTAAATACATGAAAAAGTGTGGTCTTTATTTTGATACCCATAATATTTATTTTAATATTTTTGCAATATTATATTTGAAAAAAAAAACAAAACTTATTATTTTTACAATAATTTAAGCTACATTTGAGTGAAACCCAAATTAAAAACTAACAAACAAATTCAAATCAAAAGTAACATCATACACCAACCCTAAGTAGAAAAAAAATCAAATAAATCAATGTTAACAAATCTCACTTACTCGGCTTGTTTCCACCCCAAATTCCAGCATTACAACCTATTTAGGACACTTTTTTTGCAATTTATATATATATATATATATATATATATATATATATATATAGCTTAATAATGGTTCATAAAATAAAAATGGTTTATATATATAGCTTAATACAACCTATATAGCTTAATAATTAACCCGCATTCATAGTATTTTTCTAACTTAACTTAAAAATGATCATAAAATAAAAAAGAAATAATTATATACAGACCACCCAAAACATTTCTATTCATAAATCAAACACCCGATGATTTTTTAAACTAATGTATTCAGGTTGTGTCACAATCAAACTATTGAGATTTTGACCAAAATGACAAGCGTTGATTTGAGTTTTACCATGAATTTTGAAATTTAAGCTAAATTTGAAAAATGGATGAAAAAGAATGGTTCATTTGTAAATCACAATGTCTTGGGTTTTTTACAAGTAATTGCACCAATAAATATATATATATATACATATTAAGCACCTAAAACTTTTAACCAAATCCTTCACTAAAGAATAAAAGATAGTGTAATTTTAAAAAAATAATGTTAAAATATTATATTTAAAATTTAGGTGGTTAAGATTAGGGCTTGTGTTCAGCTCGTTCGAAATTATTCGTGTTTGAAATTGACTCGTGTTCGAAACTAGCTCATGAAAAGTGTGTTCGTGTTCGGCTCAAAATTGACTCATTAAAATTAAACTGAAAAAATAGATGTATAGTGTTGGATTCGAACATGGATCAAATGCATACAAAAGATTGCTCATAACCACATTACCACACGAGCAGTTACAATTTAAACCTAGACATAAATATATCTAATATACTATTATATAAATAATATATGCAATATATTATTATATAAATAATTATATAATTATATTTTTTTTTTTTTTATTTCGAGCTAAAACAAGTCGAACACGAGCGAACAAAGAGTTGTTTGTGTTCAGCTCGTTTATAATTCGAATTTTAAAAACTTGTTTGTGTTCAGCTCGTTTACTTAATGAACGAGCCGAACACAGGCTACTTAACGAGCCGAACACGAGCTGTTTGCGAATAACAATCTTTTTTGACAGCCCTAGTTAAGATCATATATTTAATTTTTTGGTAATTGATACGTAAAACCCCCCCAAAAAAATGTATTATGAGGATCCAAAAATTGAAGAAAATACAAATAATCCAGTCCAGTTTTCATTGGAAGATTTACATAAAAATCCGCCAATTCCTACGTATTTACATATCTAACACCTAATCTTCACTTTCTTTTTTCATTCATACCAAATTATCAATGCATAAAACACCTTTTAAAAGTTAAAATAATAGTATTTAAAAAACTGTGTTACAAATGTAAAAAGTAATGCTGAGCGTGTTGGATAATTTATGTAAATGTCTCTTCATTTTTTTTTAATATGTAATTGCCCCCTCATTTTTTTTAATATTTTCATATCAAGGATATTTGGCAGAGACTCAAATATCGATTTCTCATGAGCAATCCGGCCCCATGATAAGAGCCCGCGTCATGTGCCTATAATTCGACCCCTCAAACACTACAGTAGTAATCGAACCCTTGCCAGAGGGGACTTACAGTGACCCTGCCTACCAATTGGATAAGGAATGCGGCACATATATATCATCATGAACAGCATGCTTGCAAAACATCTTCTATATTAGGATCATCACCAGCTTCTTTGTCCTGATAAGAGAATCAATCAGAACAATATAATTCTAATAATAATTTAAAAAAAAAAAAAGGTTTATAAGACTTCCAAATTTTTAATAAATTAGCTATTATATAGAATAAAACTTCCTATTTAAGCAAAAATTTTGAGGCATACCACCCAATTCTTATGTATTTACATGTTTAACACCTAAAATTTGGCTTTTTTTTAAACATTTATACCACCCAAATCTTTCATATCACATAAAAAAGTACCTTTTTTTTACTTTCAAGGAGTGAACCCACATTTTCAGAGAAAGATGGTATATATGTAAAATATCGAAGTTTAGGTGTTCGATTTGTAAATACATAAGAATTGAGTGGTATCTGCATAAATCTTTTTTTATTTTTAATTATGGCAGGAAGCCCTCTAAGTATCAAAAATTACAAATTGAATTGATAAGAGAAAGGTACCTTGTGCAGGTAAGAGATATTGCTGGTTCCAGGGCCTGCAACTAAAATGCCTCCCTGTTGCCTGAAAAAGAAGATGATAGAGATCAATTCATCACTTAACAGAAGATTAATGAATTAATGAATTTTAAAAAGTGTATTTATTGCTTCACAAATGATAATAACATGACATGCTTATGTTGAATTATCACATCTTTTAGGGGTTTGATTGGTCAGGTAATAAACATTAGGAGGAATTTACATACATACCACACAATTCTTGTGTTTTACATATCTAACACCTAAACATTCATATTCGCATGCATATCAGTCGAATCGTTAAAATTACATTGAAAATACCACCATCGCTATCTTTTTAAAAGTGAAGTACAGATATCTATGCATGGGTATAAATTTAAATATCAAACATTGGATGTTACATACGTAAAAACATAAGAATTGTGTGGTATGTATGTAAATTTTCCTAAAAATTAAAACTTCGAGATATTCAAAATACCCCGAATCCCTTTTTTTTATGCATCTACGAATCAATCACTTAATGGGATGCTTTTAAAATCTTGCTAACCCACATATGTTAGCATATCAACTTTGCGTGCTCACCCCCTTATTGAAACAAAAACCACCAGAAAACAGATAGACTAAAATACCCCCCAACCAATTGATTGACGATATTCAGTATCTTAAAAAAAAAAAAAAAAAAGATAAATGTAAGTTTTGGGAGAAGAAAAGTAATTATTCCTCCTCAATTTCTTGAGGCACGGTTAAAAGATAAGTAGCAGGAGAAGGCCGCTATATTAAGCAAGCCACAAAATTAACCACAAATTCCCTATGCTAGAAATAAGGAAATAAGAGTTATCAACTATAGATAATTCTAAAAGAAGTAACTCCTATAAATGGAAAATAATAATAATAATAGAAGATATCATGCCCAACTTGCTCACAACTCAAAACTAGGCCTAAAAAGTCCTTTGGTGAAGATATATGTTGTTTGTTGTGTTGTCGGAGTAAAAGACATACAAAAAGCTCCACAAACAATCTTTTCTTTCATAAAATGCCCATCAATCTTTGCATGTTTTGTACGATCATGTTGCACTAGATTTTATGTAAAACTTATGTAGTTTTATTGCCACAATAAAATTTCATTGGCATGTTTATCCAGATTCACAGCTCTTCAAGAATTCTATTCAGCCATGACTCTCACATACTCGGTTACAAGATAAAAAATAGGTGAAGGCCCCAACATTAGGAAAGCTACAAATTCACCATGCTAGAAAAAAGAAAATAAGAGTTACCAACATTAGGTAATTCTAAAAGTGGAAACTTCTAGAAATAAATAATAATAATAATATTAACAACAACAAGAATAATTAAAATAGAAGATATCAAAAAAAGAAAAATTCACAAAAATTTGACTCCCCTTTTAATTTGAGCATAAATATCTATCATGCCCAACTTGCTTACAAGTAATTCAAAACTAGGCCCAAAAAGTCCTTTGGTAAAAAAATATGTTATTTGTTATATTGTCGGAGTGAAAGGCATGCAAATAGCTCCAAAATAAATCTTCTCTTTTATAAAATGTCTATCAATCTCCATATGTTTTGTGTGATCATGTTGCACTGAATTTTCTATAATGCTTATGACAACTTTATTATCACAATACAACTTCATTGGCATGTTTATCGGGATCTGCAGCTCTTTAAGAATTCTATTCAATCATAACATCTCACATACATGGCTACAAGATAAATAGCAGGGGAAGGCCCCCACATTAGGAAAGCCACAAAATCAACCCATTTTCCCCATGCTACAAAAAAGGAAATAATAGTTACCAACAATAGATAATTCTAAAAGTGAAATCCTAGAAATAAATAATAATAATAATAAAATAATAATATAAGATATCAAAAGACTAAATTCCTAAAATTTCGAAATCCCCTCTCAAGTTTGAGCATAAATATCTATAATGACCAACTTCCTTATAAATAACAAAAAACAAGGCCTGAAATGTCCTTTGGTGAAGATATATGCTATTTGTTGTGTTGTCTGAGTGAAAAGCATGCAAATAGCTCCACAATCAATTTTTTCTTTTAAAAAAATGCATGCATATGATAGTTTTATTATCACAATATAACTTTATTGGCATGTTTATCGGGATCCGCACCCTTTTCAAGAATTCTATTCAGTCATAACATCTCACATACTCCATTAGTCATAGTCCGATATTATGCATTCGCACTACTTGCCACCACATTATGTTTCTTACTATGTGATGTAACCAGATTTCCCCAAAAATAAGTGTAATATATGGGTGTCAATCTCTTGTCAACAATTGAGCCTGCCAAATTTGCATCAGTGCATGCCTCTATGTTTTATTTTATTATCTTCTTAAAGAGTAAGTCTGACGCAGAACGTCTTCTTGACCTGCACTGGTTCGATCAAGGCTATTGAGGGTTGGCCGGCCCTCTAGTTTCGTATATATATATATATATATATATATATATATATATATTCAAGCTAAGGCCTAAGGGTATAGAAGCAGGCATACGACTTGCTTTTTTCATAGTTCTTTGCATCAACCATCCCATATGAACTATTAAGGGGCATTTGCAAGCATACCACACATTCTTATGTGTTGACATATCTAACACCTAAACTTTGAGTTTTACATCTAACACTCAAAATCTTTCATATCACGTTGAAAATATCACAATCACAAACATTTAAAAAGTAAAACGCATATTTTCATGCATAGGTATGGTGTTATAAAAATAAAAATTAAAATTAAAGTTTAGATGTTAGATATGTAAATACATAAAAATTTCCAATTATTAATTACAGTTTTTGAAGCACTAAGCGGAATATGATACAGGCAACAAGAACATCAATTCTTCGAAGTACGAGAAATAACTTCGAGAAAACAGTTCATGTTGCTAGAAAAAATCAAACCACAAAAATCATGCAAGAAGTTAACATACCAACCACCTTTGCTCCTCGTGTTCTCTTTAAACGAAAGCCCCCAATCTTGCCTATATCCTTCGAGATAAGACTCGATGATTTTCATACCAGCCTGAGAATATAGCATTTAATTTATTGCAGCATCGCCCTCCATACAAAAATAAAAATGTATCCCAAATTTAACACAGCAATTACAAAAATAATTGCATGCATAAGATACCTTGGGAGTAAAGGTTGTTGATACTCCATAAGCGAAATTGAGAGCATCAAACGATGAGTGGGTCGGATCTGCATAAACTTCTGCAAAAAGAGTGGAATTTACATAAATACCACCCAGTTCCTATATATTTACATATCTAACACCTAAATTTTACTTTTGACATATCTAACTCCTATATATACTACAGAAGCTTACCTCCTTTAAACTGGGTTTGCTCAGAAAAAGCAATCGCCTATTACAAAAAAGTTGGCAGAATTTAGAATGATTTAGAAATAACTTGAATAACAGTAATAAAGTAAAAGCTTTATTTGCAAAGGATCATTTACATACATACCACCCAATCTAACGCCTAAACTTTATTTTTTACATTTATACCGCCCAAAATTTCATATCACACCAAAAGATACCACCATTTAACTTTCGAAAAGTGAAATACACCTTTTCATGATTAGGAAAGGCGGGCATGTATGCAAAAAAAGAAGTTTAGGTGTTATATATGTAAATACATAACTGAATGGTATGTATGCAAATAATCCCTTACAGAAATATCATTAGCCTTGCAAATTTCACTATGAACATAACAACAAAAAAGTAATGCAATCACCCTCAAATTTATCTTCTTATTAAAAGTTTATTTAACACAAAAAATACTGTGTAAACATGCATACCTTGTGTACCTAGAAGACCATAACAGAAGAAAAAAGAACAGTACCAATTAATTCAAAATATAATGCTTGCAGATGAAATGCTATTGCTAATAATTGTTGTCATTTTCTTCACGTTTCAGTGTAGAAAGTAAAGCTAGTCACACAGTAAAGAAATTTAAATAAATTAGAGGCATTTACATACAGAGCACACAATTCATGTCTTTACATATCTCACACTTAAACTTCTATATTTACACACATAGCACTCATAGCACTCAGAATCTTTAATATCCCATCAAAAATAGTACTATTATATTTTTTAAAATGAATAACAGCTTTTCATGGATGGTTTTAAAGCACCAAAGTGCTCTATACGTAAATATGATAGTTTAAGGCCTGATTGGGATTAATTTTTGTTTTTATTTTACGGAAACAAACAGAAAAATTATGTTTATATGTTCATCTGCTTTTTAAATTTATTTTTAAATACAAATGGATTGTTTTCAAAAACAGAAAACATGTGAGACGTGTGTTTGTGTTTTGAAAACAGTCAAAACACGCTAAGCCCTAAATCCGAGCAAATCCCGATCCTCTTACCTTTCCTGCTTTGTCCAAGTAACATTTAATAAAATATTTAATTAAACTAATAATCATGTAATAAAATCATTAATTATTTAAAAGAAATCTAAATGAATATAATTGCCTCATAATTACTCAATTTAATAATAAATCTACTTAATAAATTTAATAATTAATCAAGTAAATTCATAATAATTCAAATAAAATATTAATAATTTAATTAAGCTAATAATAATAAAATTAAAATCTTAAATTATTTAAACATATCATTAAATATATAAATAATTAAATAAAACATTAACCAGCTTAATTAAAATCCTAATTAGAGAATTAATTAGATATTTAATTAAAATAATTGAAATTTTGATTAATTCATGAAATTAACTAAAAAATTAATATTTAAATATTGTTATTAACAAATTAATTGATTTCATTAATTCACCAATAAATTAATTAACATTTTAAATAACTAAATTAGTTAACATGTTAGTAGTTATTACAATTTAATTAATTTTTTAAAAAGTATGATTGTTTCCTTAAAAAGAAAAAAGAAAATCCCAATCAAATTCGTTTTATATTTTTTATTTTTTAAATTATATAAATCAAAACAGTACCAAACATGTTTTCTAAAAATAGAAAATAAAAAACAAAATAACAACAAAACAGATATAAAACAAAAACAAAAAATAAAAAATTGAAAGTGATCCCAAACATGAACTTAGGTGTGAGATATAAATACATAAGAATTATATGCTACATATATAAATTTCCATAAAATATATTTGCGTGGTGCTATTTACTAGATTTGTCATACCAGCTGATCACATTACTTCGTTTGGTACATCTTAAAAAGGGTGATTTGGGCACTTTTCTCTTCTTAAAAACTGATTCAGAGTCAAACCCAGGAGATGAAGCCATCCAATAGATTAAATATGAGTTTGAGAAGTTTAAAGTCTTCCACCAACATTAATAAATATGAGTTTGAGAAGTTTAATGGGAACAATTACTAGTAACATTTGAAAAGTAAAGATAATAACATCTTAGGGTTTAAATAAATACCATTCAACTTTTATGCATTTACATATCTAACACTTAAAATTTGATTGTTACATTTATACCACCCAAATTTTTTATATCACAACAAAAATACCACTATTTTAACTTTTAAATAGTAAAATATATGCAAATGAGATTTAGCATATATGTACAACATTGAAGTTTAAATGTTAGATGTGTAAGTACAAACTAATTGAGTGCTATTGACACGAGCGCGTCAAGCACGGCTTGGGCGTGTCGTGGGATACCATGGACGTGGTTTAGGGGGAACCGCAAATGCAGTTTAGGGGGAACCGCAGGTGCAGTTTAGGGGGGAGCCTCTGGCGTCTCCCGCGTAGTCCTCCGGAGGCCGATCGGCTCTCCCAAGGGGAATTGACGCCTCCTTTCCATAGGGGGGGCTAATCCTAGTTATCTAGAGTTTATATATGTGATTTATGCATTTAGTTTTCAATTATTGGCTTATAGTTCTATTAAGACAACCGGCGGAGTCCATGTTTTCCCTTCTAGAGTTGTATATGACGACGAGTGGCGCTCCTACTATATCTTGTTCGATGTGGTGATTAGCTTCGACCTCTCACCCCCTTAGTAACCCTCTTGCCGTTATCGTCGCTGTCGTATTTGTTGCAGCCACTAAGAAAACAGCCGCGATACAATTTTCCTGCAATGTCGATCACCTCTCCTCCCCTCCCAATCTGATGTCCCTTCCCGCCGACTCTTCTACTTGTCTTCATCCTGAGGACAGCCTGCTCGCTACCTTTCCGCGATTCCAGCCCTCTTTATTGCTTTCATCCTATCCCAGCCATCCCAACACCCTCCTTTACCTCCTCGCAACCTCCTACCTTGTTGTCGCTACTGCTCGCACATCCCCGCTTGATATCCAGCAGGTCCAATCCACTCTCGGCTTGCTTCCGCACCTTCCAAAGCCTTCAGCCTGCTTGACCAGCCACCAAACCACCTTCTGCACATTGTCATTAAGCCTCTCTATCACCTCCCGCTCTCCTTTTCCACAACCTCGACACACAACCCGCCATTATCAATCCTCATCCTAGGGAGTCTTTTGTGTTTGTGTCATTTTCTTATTTGAAGTGTCATTGTTTGTAATTCTCTTTGAATTTCAGCAGTAATAATTTCATTTTTACTGTGGTTTGAGTTAACTCAGGTATCAATTGGTATCCTAATTCTATCCTATGGTTTTCTAACAGCGGACATATCCTAAACCATCTCCACCAAAATTTTTTCTTTCCTACCACCAAATACGCTTGCCACTCCCACAAATCTCGAAACTCTAACCATGCCACCAAGGAGATATAGGCCCGAGCTTACCCAGAAAAGGATACATTGCGAGCTTTATCGCCTTCAGCAGAGGCCTGCGGAGATGGATGATGGAACCCATTGGGGCGTTTCCCTTGATCATGATATGGAGAGCCAAAGGAGATAAAGGGACAAGGATCTGAATCCCTTCCACAGGGATGACTTCAGTGATGAGAAAAACAAGCACCGGCGCTTTGAATTCAGTATTAGAGGAGGCAACATATGGAGGACCCGGAGATTTTGGCATCAAAATGGATCAACCTGAATTTTATAGAGGCATGGATCCAAATGATTTTATTAAATGACTACAATCAATTGAGAGAATCTCCGAGTACAAAGAGGTGACAAAAGACAAGAGGGTGAAGCTTGCAGCCATCAAATTGAGAGGGAAACTAGCAGAGGAAAAGAAAGAGAGAGTAATGACAAGATTACTAGATGAGAGAATATAACTACCTCCTCATTACTATCAAAATATATTTATGAAACTCCACCACCTAAAGCAGAGAGATCTATTAGTGGAGAAGTTCTCAGGGCAATTTGATCAGTGCAGATGAAGTATGAGTTGGTTGAGCCAGAGGAACAATTCATATTCCGATATCTGAGAGTCTGAAGCCCGCTATCAGCAATGTTGTGCAATTACAGCTTTATTAGTCGTTGGGAGATATCTAGATCTTAGCCCTAAAGGTGGCGAACGACATAAATAGAGCAAGCAACCACCACCATTCAGGTAGGCACAAGTAGTTGGACACTTCATCAAGAGCATGCCTCGGGGGGTTGAGAAAATTGATTCAGATTAGGACATCATGATCAATATCTTACTAACATGGCCACCAACGCATGCACGAGCCTTCTTCTTCTACAACATCGACTCAAGAACATCCTCCTTCGAACGTTTTGTTCTGCTCTTGGCAGAGCTGCAAACATCCTTCCTCCTTCGACTTGAGTTTACGAGATTTGGCTCAACCCAGCACTACAAGATGACACCTCCTCTACACGCGAACACGGCACGACCTTTTTCTTTCTCGTTATTTCTCCTCGCTCACTCTAGTCTCCTTCTCTGCTTGTTAAATGGATCAAATGAGGGGTAACATAAAAGAAGTGTGTGATACAATCCCAATGAAGAGGTGCGTCTCTCCTAACATACACCTATTTTATTTTATTTATTATTATTATCATTATTATTAATTATTTATATGTTTAATTTCAGTTATTACGATATTAAAGCCTCTAACATGCCTTTGTAATCTTTTGGTTGCCCGAAAGTCTTCCTTTTCCTCGCACAAAAAATTCACATCGACCTACCCCCTCAAATTTGGGACTAAAAAGTTTCGATCCCGATGCAAGTAACTTTCCATTAGCACTTGTTTAATTAAAGTCATACTCACATACAAGCATATAAAACACTATATTAATCAACTTAATAATAAGAAAAATCTCAATTCTAACTCATACCATTCGACTGGCTAACCTAACCTCACAGACACACAAGCTATGGCTCCCCTTCCTCAACCGCTTTCAATCGTGACTCAACCGGTAAGCACTCGTTGCCACCGCCTCCTTCCTTCTCTTCCTCTGCACGAGCACCAAGTGGAAGTCGTTTGACCTCCCCTCTTCAATTTCGAGTTCGATTTCTCCCTCATGCACGTGAGGTTGGACGCATTACAAGCACGAGCCTTCCTCTTCTACGACAATGACTAGTGAACTTCTTCATTCGAATGTTTACATGATAGAGCCGCAAACTTTCCTCCTACTTCAACTAGAGTTTGTGAGACTCAATTCAGCCTAACACTACAAGTGATCGATGTCACCTCTTTTGCATGCGAGCACGGCACGACCCCCTTCTTTTTCTTCTTCCTCGTTGTTTCTCCTTCTAGCTCACTTAATTCTCCTTCTATGTTCGTTAAAAGGGTCGAATGAGGGGTAAAATATATGAAGTGTGTAATTTAATCCCTGCAAAGAGGTGCATCTCTCCTAACATACATCCATTTTATTTTATTTATTATTATTATTAATTATTTATTTAATTTCAATTATTATGGCACCGTGCTAGAGCTTGTCATTTAAGCTTGAGATTGAACTCGTATTTTGACAAACGAGCTAAGCTCAAGTCAAGCATGACTCTATCTCAGCCAAACTCATTTACAACCTTACCAGGTCACGGTATGCGCACATATATACTACTTTACCTATACATGAAAAGATGTATTTGATTTTGAAAAGATTAAAATGGTGATATTTTTTATGTGATATGACATATTTGGGCTTTATAAATACAAAAAATCAAAGTTTAGGTGTTAGATATGTAAATATATAAGAACTGGGTCGTACGCATGTAAATGCCCAAAAAATAACAATTTGCATGCTGTTTTTTTCTCTGAGTACAGGATATGTTGGATTAAATTGCAATAATGCGTTTTCAATTGACACGCACCATAACCTTGACTGCCCATGTTAGGATGATTATCAATGATAAAATTCGATATTATGTCAAACTATTTCAACTTTTTAAGGTGAATTCTGTAATTTAATTTAACGAATAAGCAAAGAGATCCAATTTTCTGAACTTTCAACTTACACCTCACTAATTTGGTTGTGTGTGAACTGAAATAATCCTAGTGATAAAGCTGACTTATGGCAAAACCTAGTTTTGCCTGCCATAGGCTCATCGGTTGATGCTAATACCGCTCAATTTAATGAATTAACATATCTAATACCTAAATTTTGCTTTCTACATTTATGCCACCAAAATCTCTCATATCACGTCAAAAATGAAACCATTTTAACTTTTAAAAAGTGAAAAGCACCCTTTCACCCATTGGTAAGGTGGTTTGTAGGTAATAATTAAAGTTCAGGTGCTAGATATGTAAATACATGGGAATTAAATGCCATGTATGTAAATCTTCCAAAAACAAGAAGAATAAGAAGGCTTTATCCCACTAAGTGGGTTAGCTACATGAATCCTTTCTCTCCATTGTGTTCTATTGAGTGTCATATTTTCATTTAATTCTAATAAATCAAGATCATTTTTTTTACACAACATGCCTAAGTCCTTTTAAGTCTATCTCTACCTTTCGTAACATAAGTAGAATCTAAAACATCTAATCTCCGGATCATCAGATGGTTGGCGTTTAATATTTAGGTAAATCTTCCAAAAAAATAAAATCCAAACATTAGACAAACAAGTAGGAGTAAAAATTCTGATAATTTAAATCATATGAACCACGTTCTCTCTTAATATGTGGAATAATTATGAACACATACTTGATCAACAGTACCAGGTGCAATTAGAACAAGCGCCACACCAGCTGCATCCATTAAATCCTAAAATAGGTAAGAAACAAATAAAGCAATTTAATGAGACCTTATATCAAAAATACTGTACAAGTAAAAATTGCTAGCTTACATCATCAAAAACAAGAAATTCCATTTTTCTTGGGAATATTAGTGGAAAATGCATTTGAACGGAGTCATCAGACCATAAGAGTTGTTTGGTATCCTATTAAATGCAATATTTAAGCAAATTTTACATTAAATCCTACCCAAAATAACCTTGGGACTTCAAATTCTCTTGTTTAGATTGGGACTTTTGGGACTTCAAATTCTCTTATTTTACATTAAATCCTACCCAAGTTTAGATTGGGACTTCAAATTCTCTTGTTTAGATAAATCTCCACGAGTTTCGTCATATATATTAGTTACCTGAAGTGCCTCTGCAATTTGAGCTGCAATACTAGCTTATAATGCCTAAGTTAAGTATTATCTCATCACCTCCACAAGGTTCGTCATATTAACAGGGAGTTCACCGGCCTCAGTGGGTTGAGAAGGATCAGCATGACAACATCTTGGAGAGCGAAGACCTTAGGGATATGTACAGTTTCTATAGTGGCCTTTGGGACTTTTGTTGCGTGAGTGGCTGCGACACTTCCCATTCTGAGAAATTAAAACTTAACATGACATTAAAACATACTACATAACTGGCAAATTAGAGAAACATGTCCCCTATCCCTTCCTACGATAAAAGTAATACTTAATACAAAATACAAGTTATATTGAATACAAACTCAAAAATATTGAATATAAAATACAAGGGATATTGAATACAAAATATAATTTATATTGAATAAAAAACACGTCCTCTAATACCACTATATCATACCCCGAGTACTAACGGCGTTATACCCAACAATATATGGCGTGAAGAAAGGATGCGAACTTGTTTTATAGTCTCGAGAGGAAATATTATACACAAGTAATAACTAATATAAGCAAAAAAGATAATTTTATTTCAATTCATAAATAACAATCAACAACTGACACGACTAAAAGAAAATAAAAAATTTACCAAAATAAAATTGAAAAAACAATCAAGAGGAACAACTACACAGACTCAAAAATGATTAAAAAAATACATTAATTATTGTAAATAGTGAAAATTACAAAAAAAAAAAAAAAAATTTAAAACTGGAAATTATGCTCCTATGAAGATTGTCCTCCAAGTGTCTAAATAGAACATGCTATAACAAAATATTAATGAGTGAGTTTGACAAATATAAACTTAATAAATTATTAAAACATGAACGACAAGAAACTGACAATTAATTATAGGCATACCAAAATTTGCAAAAGGAGTATAAAATATTTATAATCATGAATGTAAGTGACTTAAACTCATGCATTTCTATATGAACATATATATGTTGCAATATCGTGTGTGTCTATACATAATCTACAAGTGCAATATATATATGTAAGTATATGTGTGTCAATCATATAGAGTTGGTGGATCGAGCTATACATATAGAGTTGAAACTGATGCTTGTGAAAAAAAAGTGTCGCAAAACGAAAGAATATAGAAGATCGGGTACAATCGCTTTAGAAAAATCTCCAGGGAAATAAGTTGAAGAGCAATTCAAATTGCCCCCACCGTAGGAAGAGATATCCTGGACCTTGGCCCTGAACAATTGACAAATGCTTCAATTATCAAAGCACCGATCATATGATTAAAGATTGCCCTCTCAAGCCCCAAAAACAACCCACAGTAAATAAGGAGAATAGCTTCAAGCAGCATAAGAATGGGATGCATTAATCTAATAAAAGTAGAAAACAAAAGCAAAATGATAAAGGACATACAATTCAATACTACTTTTAGCCCCAACAACAACCACGACAAGTGACAGTGTGTCAGTCATTATCAACAACACCCTCTTTAATTGCAATACCAATGGCACCAACAATCGTCGTTGATTTATCAATACAATCAATGGTGCAGCACCAGCATCAACAACATCAGGCTACAAAGCAGCCCAGACAAACGATTCTGCCTCGAGCATTTGTAATGATGCAGCAAGAAGTCCACAAAACTCCTAGCATAGTGACAAGTATTATTTCTATTTTTAAGAAACTAGCAAGTGTATTATTTGACTCTGGTACATCAAATTTTTGTTTATATCAAATAAATTTGTATATAGTACATTAGTTTATTCATTACAATCACATATGTTTATCATTATGTCATATGACTCATCTGTGATTGATATTTGGCGTGCTTATGATTGTGACATTATTATTAATAAAATGTATATATTGCTACACTTATAAAATTCTCAATAGTTGAGTTTGATGTAATATTAGGTATGAATTTAGGGACTAGATTCTTTTATGGAGGAAGTGTGTAAGATTGGAACCTTCCATCTTTGCCCAAATCGAAGCACCGCCTTCACCCCTTTATTTATGTTTAAATTTCGCAATTTCTTTTGTTGCTCCCACTACCAGTGTCTCTTAATTACATGGATCTCACGAGTTCCTCCCAAGCCATCTTCTCCTTTTAATCGCATGAAAAACATGATCCCTTCCCGCAGCCTTCTCAATCAATCTCCCACAATATTCCTTTCCTTTTTCTTCTTCTCGCACTTGACACTGAACCGCCTTCACTGCCTATTTGAGAGGCCAAAGGAGTAAGGCATTGCCCCCATCTCCCTTGCCTCCACTTACAGCCATTAATTCCCATATAGCTATCTCCCGCCCTGCTCTTCTTGACCAAACCGAAGATAGAGGAATGAATCTACTTTCCTTCTCCTTTCCCTTTGACTGTAGTCATCTAGCCTCCCTGTCATCGAACGTACTCCTTCCTCCTCCAATAAATAAGTTGTAAATGACATCCTCTCCAATTTCTTCCCTTAATGTAATTTTATTATTTTAATTTATAGCCTTATATATATATATATATATATATATATATATTTAGAGTAACTTTTACTTTTAATTATTTTATTATTATGAAAATTTTGGTTGAGTTAACTTTATACTATTTTCTCAAAATTTTGATAAAATGATAATAATAAAAATATAGCGCAGTTAGGTTACACCTAACTTAATAAATTAGTCTTAATATATTTTAATTACATAATTATTAACTCTTAGGAAACCCGATTTCTGTAGGACCAATTGAAGTTTGTTGAACCACAAAAACTTTTAACAGTTTTATCGTCGCCTCGAAGTAAGTATTATTTATTATGGAATAAACGTAACATTCGTTGTTAAGGGTGTTATCCTTATTACTTGTATAAATTACTAGTTATTTTTATGTTTGTCAATTATATCCTTTAAAAACTATTATTATATTTGTAGTATAGTTTATTTTTTGTTCATAATGAATTTTATGTGTGATTAACCTTATTTTATCTTTGCATTGACACCTGTTTAACTATTGTTCTATTGTTTTACTAGTGTTTATTGTTATTTTTATAGTTGTGATATATTAATCTCAATATTACAAATTAATATTTGTATATAAATATTGATAAACATGTTGTAGCTATATTCATATAGTTTGATGGTAATGCTTGAAATGTCTAATATTATAATATTATCATGTCAGTATTGAACTTTTATTATGACTAGTAGGACCGACAGGTCCTCAGAGAAATCATTGAATTTCCATTAGATTCGTACTAACTTTTTTAGTATGAGGGTGTCATAAAAAATTAACTATATATAGATATATATTGCACTTGTAAATTATGAGTTAATGTTAAAAGAATGATAAGTCATATATATACAAACAAGTATGATATTGTGGCATTTGGATATTCACTTAAAAGTGTATGAGTTTAAGTCCCTTACATCAATGAGTATAAGTATTTTATATTATTTTTACAAATTCTGGTATGCATAAAGTAAGTTGTCATTTTTATTATCCATATTGCATGTCATAATTCATTCTTGTTTATGCTTCAATAAATAATTATTATTTATTGAGTTTTATTTGTCAAACAAACTCGTTGATATTTTTATATATCAGGTTGCATTCAAACACTAAGAGGACAGTCTCCACATTAGCAGAATTTTCACCTTTAGATTTACTTTTTGATATTTTCAACAATTTGCATTAGTTATTGTTTTTTTTTTCCTTTTTGGATTTTAGTTATTTCTTTATTATTATTTCAACTTTGCTTCAATCAATTTTAGTTTCCTTTCATTTGTAATTATTGATTCTTATTTATGGATTGAAATAAAATTATATTTTTTTCTTATTTTAATTGTTACTTGTGTATGACCTTTCTTTTGGAGAATATAAAATATGTTCACATCATTTTATCACGCCATATATTATTGGAGTGTTACCAACTTCCAGACGCAGGATGCGACATCCTTGATGATGGGATTTTATCCTAGCATCATACCACTGGAAAATAAATTAAAAGATGTTTCTCTATAATCACTTTCTTATTTAGGTTTTACAATGTTACAAAAATTGTTGATTTATTTATTCTAAGGAAATGCGCTATCATACAACAAAAAAATTTGTCTCTTAAATGAATCGCAGAAGTAGTAGTAACCAACAGATCCCGTAAGAAGGACTACTGTAAACACCGAAAATTTCTCTGAAATTTATTTTTTCTTTCCTACCATGTTCTCTGCCCCTCTGACTTCCCAAAACGCAAATATTTCATTTTTTTGTTCTCCTTGCCACCATCCTGTTTCATCGAGCCCATCGATCTATAAGAGCATGTAAGGGTTTGTCTTCTCCAAATCTCCCTCTTATCCCGATCTCCCTCCTCCCAGCTCTACTTCTTCCTGCTCCCATGCACCAAAACAGATACAAATGCTAGCAGTGAAGGCAACGGGATCGTAGCTTACAAAGACCACCAAAACTTCCCTTCTTTCATATGCTCTTACCTGAAACCATCGAGGAAGGTAACCCTCATCTGCCACCCCTTCTCTTAGCCGCACACTTCAACCTCTTTAAATCCTGTGAATCCATCTTAAATCGATAGCTTATATAAACCAAAGAAGAAACGAGATTTAAGAAATGTATAAGA